CTGAACAATACTGTTGCTTTGTTTTTATTCATTTGTAGGGCGTGTGTATTGTGATAAGGCCAATATTTATTGTCCATTCTTATTAGACTCTGAGAAGGTGGGGATGAGCAGCCTTCTTGAGCTGCTGCAATCCATATGCTGCATGTAAACCTAAAGTGCTGTCAGGAAAGGTCTACTATGATTTTGAGCCAGAGACAGTGATGGAACAATTATATCATTCCAAATCAGAATGGTGTGTGACTTGAAAGGACATGTAGAAATGATGGATTTCTAATGCATCTGCTTGTCCTTCCAGTGGGTGGAAGTTACATGCTTTGAGGGTGCTGTTGAAGGAGTTATTTCATGGAATCTTTTTTTTAATGATATACTGTCGCCACTGTGTTTTGTGGCAGATGCTGATATTGATCAAGGTGGTGGATGTCATGTTGGTCAAGGGGACTGTTTTCACCTCTGTGGTATCAAGGTTCTTAGATGTGATGGAGCTGCACTCAATCAAGTAAGTGGACATTATTCCATCATCTTTTGACATGGGCCTTGCAGATGGAGGGCCGGCTTTGGGAGTCAGATCAGTTCCTCAGTGATGAGCTCCCACTTTCTGATCTGTTCTTGTAGCCACACGATTTTGGTCAAGGATAACTGCTAGGATGTTAATGGTGGTGGATACAATGATAGTCATATTATTGAATGTCAGAAGTTAATTGTTTTGCTCGTGCTGGATGGTCATTGCCTGTTATTTGTGTAGCACAAATACTATTGCCATTTATCAGCCTGAGCCTGAATGATGTTCAGCTCTTTCTGCATGTAGGGAAAATTACTTTGGTTATTGAGGAGTTATAAATGGTCCTGAACACTGTGAACATCTCCTTCTGGCCCCAAGAAAGGTCTTTGATTAAAACAAAACCCTGAAAATTGTTGGATTCTATGATTCATTCTGAGGAACTCTTGAAGCTAGTACTGGGGTGAGCAGATTGATTTAAGAAGGAAGAGGGTATTGGAGATGTTGAAAGATTTAAAAGTGGTCAAATGTCCAGGTCTGGATGATTGCGTCTCAGGCAGCAGTGGGAGATGAGGGAGGAAATTACAGGGGTCCTGACCCAAATTTTCAAATCTGCTCTGGCCACAGGGAAGGTGACAAAAGACTGGAGGATGGCTGATGTGGTTTCACTTTACAAGAAGGATGGTAGAAATACACCAGGGAACGAGAGATTGATGAGTCTTACATCAGTAGGAGGGAAACTATTGGATAAAATAATGAAGGAGAAAATTAATCTCCTTTAAGGGAGGCAAGCTTTGGTCAGGGATAGTCAGCCTGGTTTTGTCAGAGGTAGGTTCTATCTAACAAATCTGATGGAATTTTTCAAGCAGGTGACCAAATGTTTGGATGAGGATAAGGCAGTTGATGTAGTTTATATGGATTTCAGGGAAGCCTTTGACAAGATCCACATGGGAAACTGATAAAAAAAGGTAAAACAATAACTAGACAAGATGGATCCAAAACTGGCTTAATTAGGAGACAGAGGATAGTGGGAGAAGGATATTTGTGTGACTGGAGCCTGCTGTGCAGTGGCATATCAGAGGATCAGAGCTGGGCCCCTTATCGTTTGTAATATTCATAAATGATGTAGATGGGAATTTGGGACAGATGATAAACAAGTTTGTGGATGATACAAAGATTGGTCAAATGGTTGGCAGTGTGGAGGAAGGTATTAGGTTAAATGACGATATAAACAGATTGGTCAGATGGGTGGATCAATGGCAGATGGAGGGGATTTAAGGAAAACCTTTTTCACTCAGAGGGTGGTGGGAGTCTGGAGTGCATTGCTTGGGAGAGTAGTTGAGGTGTGAAACATCACAATTTTAAAAAAGCACTGGAAGTGTCATAGCATTCAAGGCTATGGGTCTAAGATGGGAAAGTGGAACTAGTGAGGATAGTAGTATATTTTTGGATATACAGACTTGATGGACCAAAGGGACTCTTCTGTCCTGTATGATTCAATGATTCTGTGAGATGACTGCATTCTAACTAAGCACAACCATCTTTTTTGTGCTATTTAGGAACTCAACTACCATAGAGTTTCCTTCTTGATGCCTAATCATCTCAATTTTGCTAAAGCTCTTCTTTGCTACACTTACTCAAATGATATCATTGTGTCAAAAGACAGCGGTTCTCACCTCACTACTTGAATTGAACTCCATTGTTTATGTTTGCACTAAGCAAGGATGGGAATTGGATGAACCAAACTAAACATTGATGAATAGGTCATTGGTGAGCTGGTGCCATTTGATAGTACTGTCAAAGAAGCTATCACCACTTTGCAGATGATATAAATTGAAGTGCTGGCAATATCCAGATTGGATTTGTCCTACTTTTCTCCAAGCATAGGTACCTGGGCAATTTTCCACATTGTTGAGCAGTGCCCTGGCTGTACAAGATCAGCTTGGTTATGGATGCAACTAGTTCTAAATCATACCTTTAACATCACAATTGCAGATTTTTCAGGGTCCATAATCACCAATATACTCAATGCCTTTATCCATTTCTTGATATCATATGGAGTGAATTGAATTGGTTGAAGATTGCAAGAACTCTCTCCCCTGGAGTTGAGGGTCACCTTGTGGAGGTTTATAAAATAATGAAGACATAGATATGATGAATAGCAAAGATCATTTCACCAGGGTCGGGGAGTTCAAAACTAGAGGGCAGACTTTTAAGGTGAGAAGAGAAAATTTAAAAAGGGACCCGAGGGGCAACCTTTTCACACAGAGGGTGGTTCTTTTGTGGAATGAACTGCCAGAGGAAGTGATAGATGCAGGTACAGTCACACATTTAAAAGACATTCAGACAGATACACAATAGTAAAGGTTTAGAGGGATATGGGCCAAACAAAGGCAAGTGGGGCTAGTTTAATTTGGGAAACTTGGGCTGCATGGACGAGTTGGACCAAAGGGTCTGTTTCCATGCTGTATACTCTTTTGGGGGACATCAAGGGGAGTCTAAGATGAATAATCCACTCGCTACATCAGTTTGAAGGTGGTTTCAAATGCTTCAACCTTGTCTTTTGCACTCACATGCTCATCTCCATGTTCATGAAATGTAACGATTTGAAGCATTCTCCTTGGTTTGTTGTTTAAACGTCTATCACTGCACACAACTGATTGTGGCTGGACTGCAAAGCTTTGATCTGATCTGTTGGTTGAGGGATAAGCAGTTGGATGAGAATGCAGCCTTCAGTGTCAGGATGGAGTCTCACTCACAGCACACATTATGTCTCAACTTCTGTATCTCTTTGGCAGCAGGGCATTTTTCTCCCTCTATCTCTGTATAATAGTGTTTTATAAGGTCTTACTGTCTGTCCTGGTGTCAATACAAGGTTTTCATTTCTTTAATAGAGATGTATGAAGTATTTTGCCATGGGATTTTACTTCCTGTACTGATTTAATTATGGACATGTCCTTATTGTAATGATGAATGAATCTCCTTATCTGTAATATATCTTTGTGGGATCTTTATATCTTTTGCCAGTCCTGTGAGATCTCTCTCTAAATAATGGCATCAACTTGAATATATTTGTATTTCTGTCTGAATTAAGTTTCACTGTCTATTGGTATTTGTATGAGGCCTCTATCTACCTGCAGATATACAGTAGTTTTTCTACTTTGAATTGGTGACTGCAGAGTATCTCTTTCTGAGTTGATGCATGTGCAGTTGCTGAACAACTGGTTCATGATATAGAGTGACACCATCTGTTTGATTTCAATTTCTGCTGAAGTTACTGTGAAGAACTCTCCTTCTCAACCTTTCCCCTTGCATGAGGTGTGGTGGACTATTTGCATTATAGTCTGTATGGAATCTGTCTGCTTGTACATAGGCTTATGGATCTCTGCAAGGAGATATCTCACTCTTCTTGTGTGGTTTGAAATTTTATGCATTATTTTATGATCGTGCTGTTGGCTTAGTGGGTGTATTCACACATTTGAGATTTGGGAATATAGGTTTCAGTTACCCAGGCATCTAGATAAGTGAAAGCTCGACTTTAAGGTCTCAGTTTTTGCATTGGCGTGATCACAACACAAATATACTCACAGTCATTCCTGTTTCCATTGTATAGGTTGTAGGTGTCCACAAAATCTTTCCACCACATAGACTCAACTATTACAATTATTACAGCCATAGAAGGAACATTCATAATAGTGTTTATCTCAAATTCTTCCTTTATGTCATCTCTTTCTCCAATTGAAAGCTGTGAAGCTCTAACGATGATTGTATGTACTTCTGCAAATATGGTATTTCTGCTTGCTGTTTAGTTGTACTCTTTCTCTGTATTGGTATCAGTACACTGTTTCATTCTATGTGCTGCATCTGTACCATTAATTGGTGTACAGGGAGTAAATTGTGAGACTTCCTCATTTTGAAGCAACAGGATGGCTTTCTCTGTCTTCTAGCCACACAAATTAATTAAATAAATAAATATTTAGAAAAGGCTTTTTTTTTCATCAAATGCGATAAGAAACACATACTATGGCTACAGGAAGTAGGTTTCAAAAGTGAAAGCTTTCTCCAGTAGCTTCAATCCATTTAAATCAGATGCTGTAAGCTAATGCCTTTGAAGCAATTCCGATTCCAAAGACTGTTAAATGTTTGTCAAGTCCCTCTGCTAGTTTACGTTCTGAAGAAATCAAATAACTTTAAAAAGAGCTCCTTTATTTGTAAAAGTCCTATGGATTTCTCTTATTTTTGGTTAGCTTCTTCCGATGTGCAGAGTGAAGAACTGAAGGGCTGGATTTTCTAGCTCACACTTGGCAACACAGAAGCCGTAGCATTCTCGGGCTGGTAAACAAATCCTTCCCAATTCCTACTGCAATTTTAGAGAGTATCTTTGCCTCGCTGTTAGAAGGAAGATTCTTTTTTTTATGGAAGATGAGAATTTCTATAAAACTCATCTACTTTCGTTTTTTCGTTCAAACTTTTAACGTGACTTAGCAATAAACAAAACCGCAGATCTCCAGCTGTATACACAAGTTTATTGTTTTAGCCTTTACCGGGAACATACGCAATTCCTTAATTCACTGTCGAATCTTCGATGTTGGCGAATTTAAACTGCTCGCTCCATTTAAACCTACGAGAAAAAGATAGGCATATTAAATAAAGTAATAGTTGTAGAAAATAGTTAACTCAAGGCAACTCTGCAATGTTGACTGAGCTAATATATTTTGTGTTTTGCAGCGTTAAAATTGCATAAGCGTTTTTAACTGGAGGTGTTAAATTGAAATGATAAACTAGCTCATAGATATACGTTCGTTCGTTTAAACAGTCGCATTTAACGATAGTTTTATTATTTGCAACGTGTCAAGCAAATAGCATCGAAACAAATAATATTTAAACAAGAGTGAACGCTGCTCACTTGGGAGCCTATGATTTCAAATTGATCGTTAAGCGACAGGCTATATTCCAAACATAATTCAAGCATAAAACTGGCTCAAAAACGATAATTTCAGGATCTTTTGCAAGGCGTTTCGTGTGGGAGCAAGTGACCAAATGGATAAGATAAACTGAAAAGAAAATGTTCGAAAACAGATTAAGAACAAGTAATGAGAAATATGCCTCTTTATGTAAAAAAAAAACACTTTAGCCTTTTTTAGATTGTGCTGGTGACTATCTAATTTCATTTGAAGTTTTATTCCTCAACAAACAATCATACGTATGGCTTGGGACGTTTCAGTACATTGGAAGGCCCTATATAAATGGAAGTTGTAAATCCGTCTGGCCCGAATATATTAAACCGAAAGCAACAAATTCCTAGCGATGCCCCTGTTCTTTTTGTTGGTGCAGTTGCAGTTAGTGGATCAGTTTGGAGTCACGCACTCACCTCCCTTGTCTAGTCGTTTGCAGACTGAACCTCTATCGCCCCAAATTTAAGTATCTAAACATTCCTCGAAACCTCACTGGCGTCCTGTCAACTTGTCTGAATTTTTGCCTGAATAGTATGTCATTCGTAGAGGACGTGGGCGGCTAATTTCGAAGCTCTGACAAGGTGTGTGAGTGGACCCAGCAATACCGAGGCCTCATAACGAAGAAGCCAGGATAAGTGAACTAACTAAATACCCTCATTGTACTGTTTGCAAAATAACTTCAATTTAATAGGTGATTGTCGATAGATGCAGATTGAACCATTGGCACAAGTTGTTCAATTGTTGCCAACATTTTACATAATGCTGATTAAATCCTTCAAATGTCTCAATAGCTTCACAATATAGCATCTTCAAAAATCCACTTTCCCCTCGAAAGCAAAAAATGTGAGTGCTTGGAAGTGTTGGCCCCAAATTTACGGGAATCGTCTTCATTCATTGTATTCGATTGGAAAATCGCCGCCGACGAAGGAGATAAGGGTTATGTATATGACAAGGTCTGATCATTCCTTTTTAAATAAATATATTCCCCAGGTCCTTTTTTTTTGCTTTTCTTACAGACTTGGCGGCGCCCCCGGGACCCGGTCTTGTATCACTCTCCCCCACCTCCTCTACTTTGTTCAGATATTGACTAATAAAACCCACAGACGTGTGGGAGCTGAGAGTTTATGACATAGCAGTCGCCACTGACAGCAAAAGTTCCAGTCACCTTTTGAAAAGGGATGCGCCTCAGCGACTGACATTTCAATGCTTCAGGGAATACTCTTCAAGTAAAGTCTTTTAAATTCGATGACAATCAATATTACATTTAAAGGTAGATGTTTTGCAGGAGGGGACCTGAACCAGCGCAGTCACCTGAAGCATTTCAACAAAGGGGCACACAGTGGTAGATTCTTTCAAATTTCATGCAAAATAAATAAACAATCAAATCGGGCGAAACAGAGCATTTTCGCTTTTGTTTGGACGCGTTCCATACAGAAAATAAATCCCCACATCCAAAATAAAAACCACAAATGGAATCGTACATTTCTAGCAAAATTGAAAGAAATATTTGGAGACGTTGAACTGAAAAGTTGTCTTGACATTCCCCGTTTCCTGAGTGATGGAGGAGAAAACGGTAAAGGTTGAAGGGCCGAAAGTTTTACTTTTGGAGGGGGTGGGTGGGTTAATTTTCACGGGCAATTGATGAAATTGCTCTCCCATCACTGTCACCAAAGCTCCCTGCTTTGCTGCGAGAATTATCAAACTGTGAAAAGAACGCTCCGTTTGAATGAAATATTCCCTCATTGATTTGTGAACGAAGACATTGCACAACCTCGACAAAACCATCGACATTGTTCTCATGCAGATCGACTATCGACCTGAAAGATAGTTCTTCAAAACGATCAATATGTCTGTCATAGTTATTGACGAGTGCTCCCGTCTACTGCGATACTCACAGCTCACTGCAGCGATCCTGCACTCTTTTGGGGCTAGCATTGCTGAGGGTCACGGTGTGTTGCCTTCCCATTACTCCAGGACTGCCAGTCCAAAAGGGATGTCAAGAAAACACCTTTCCAGACCCTTTATCAAGATGGGATCATAAACTCACACACATGCAACGAGATTCCCACCCAACGATCAATTCTAGTGATATCATTGGAAATTAAACATACTGCACAGGGCCTGAGTAAAAACAGCTACGAGGTTCACTCAGTCTGAATACGGCTCCCATATGTTACTATTTATATAATGGAAACATTTTAGATTCCACTCCTATCCTGGGCTCTGAGCTCCAGTTCATTTATAAAATGGAAATGAAATTGATTCAACGAATAGGGGCAAACTTTACCGACTACATTCTGGGTCTACCGCATTAATTATATTAAGCAAACCGCTACAGGTTGTGTGCAGAAATTAATATTTAAGAAAAAATAAAGACGAGCAATTCTACCTTTCAACACTGCAGGGATAGACGCAGTTGTGTTGAAACAACCAGGCAGCAGACTCAGTGTCACCTGGAACGAGGTTAATATCGGAATTAAAGTCAATTCCGTAAGGCTAAAGAGCAATTGTATGTATGTATGTATGCATGTATGTACATTTCGCCTCTGGGGAGCTCACAACAGGCCGCTGCGGCTAATAATCTTGCAACAATGCGATTAACAACATTTTCGTGGTGCTAGGGACAGTGCAAATCGGTTGCATAGTTACCTTGTTTGGAACCAGAAGCCGAGGTCTGATAAATGCAAACGCCCCTGTTAAATAGTTACCAAAACCCTAATAATCAGTGAAACGACAGCAAATCCATACAAGCAAATGATCCCCACCCTCCAGTCTAATAAAAAACGCTGTGCCCTTGCATTGAAACTGGAATAGGGGCTTTAATAATCGTTTACATTTTACTTTAAGCATCAGTTTTAGCATCAGATAGGAACTGAATTTTCTAACAGTTCAGAAACGCAGAATCGGGAAGAGGAATATTGTGCGATTGTTTGTTGAATTTATTTGCCTTGATCAGGAAACTATTCACACGATTGAGTTCATAGAAACCTGATAAATAGATGGCCTGTATCCTTCAGAATATTGTGTAACCCGCTGAAATGTCATTAAAATTTCACGCAAATGTCCCTAATATTCCATACAGTCCAACTTCTTTGAGCACGCCTCAATTAGTATAAACTCGTTTAGTTGAAATTTGAGCAAATGCGGAGTTACAATAAATTAAATACAGTTTTGCTAACACCAATGCTTCGAAAAAAATGTCATGCTGATGCTTTATTAATACTTGCTAACGGATACGATAGCCTGACGGCCCAGAGGTTTTTATATATCACTCCCTCTGCCCGAATAGCGTATTTAAATAGCATTCCATTTCAGACGGGAATCTGTCAGTTTCACACGGGGTCAGTTTCACCTTCATCCAGCGGGACCCCAGCGACTTTCTCGGGGACCTTTGCATCGGTGCGAAGTGGTTTTGGATGCGTTATCAAGGATAATAGCATCTGTCGGGATTGAAATCACACTGACTGAAAAGGCCACTGAAAACATAACGAGCTCATTTCTCAGTTGCCACGGAGTTCAAACTAAGGCAAAGTGTGACTCAGTGTAACTTGGATAATGCCTCCAAAGGCGTTATGGCGCCAGAAGCTCTGTTATCACTTGAACCTGAGAGTGCATTCGCACTGGATACGGTAACCCAACACAAATCGTCCTCAACTTTGGGGCACTTCAGTAGGAGCTAATTCACAGCGGCCTTTCCAACCCTCAATTCCTCGTTATGAGTTCCCTAGTGTTAATCCCCAGATATTTCCTGATGCCATGACGCTGGGAAGAGGAAAAGCCGAACTGTTCAAGATCTCCAGGGCTTCATTTATTCCGGTGTAGCTGGATGTTAAGTTGTCGATCCGATCCTATATTTACATATCCATCTCAATGCCACAATGATCCACGGTAATGCTAAAACTGTGGCGTTAACACACCGCAAATTCTCTCAGCCCTATTTTCATATCAAACAAATAAAGATCTATCCCGCATCAAATATTTTGAAATGGATTTGTCTTTTTGCTCTGATGTCAGGCAGAACTATACCAAGCAAGGTTAGTTGGTCAAAACAAAATAGATTTAAAATTAAATCTACCAATAGGAGATCGAAAATGCCAGATTCCAATTTTGAGCTGTGAGGCCGTTCTTCGCTGATTCACGATGTCATCGAAACATTGCATATTAGCTAAATTTCAAAGTTCGAGAAGTGGTATCCATGTACCTTACTTATATAATAATTTGATTCAAATCAGGGTGGGCTCTTATAGATTTAATTTTGCACACAATTAAAACACTTTACAATAAGGTTGAAAATGTATAGTGCCTGTTTACAGCAAAATGAAATAGTTTAGACTGAACATCAGCATGAATGGGGTTAGAGCCGTTGGGTCTGGTGGCACAGTGTAGAGAGCCACCTCTGCACTAAATGGCTTGTGTTCAAGTTCCAACTGCCTCAGAGGTACGTTGCACCATGCCTGGATAGATTAATTTAAACAATTAAAAGTAGCTACGTACATCAAGCATTTAATTCATTAGGATACAGAAAAAAAAACCCAATATCAATATTAATTAAACTTCTGTTCGGTGTTGCAAAGTTACCTGGTATCAAACCCATTATTAGATGCTATCTCATACTAATTGGAGTTTGCGCTAGTTTCACTAAATCTGTAATGTGGTAACAAGCCAAATTAACAGTTGTAAGGGCCCATTGCATGCTCTGCAAGTTCATCTAATTTTGTGTTGATGAAGAAAATGTCAATGTCATCCATCCCACCCTAATACAAATGTTAAAACCTAACAGTTTGGACAAAAGTGTCAAAACATGCGGATACTGCATCGTTGTTACTGCAGACTGATACTGGCCAGAGAGTTTTGAGACTTCTAAGTATTGCATTGTATAGAATGAAAGCATCAGGTCAACTTTTCAGGACATTGATCAATGCTGCAAGTTTCAGTTTTGCAAACTATACTGTTTAATATTACTTTACTGTGTCAAACAGGTAGGATGTAATTTAGGGGTGAATCTTCTTCATGTAAGTAGATTTCTGGAAGTCAATATCTTAAGGCTGTCTGGAACTCTCCTACTAAAAGGCTTTAGAAGATGGGCCAGTTATAACTTTCAAAACTGATATTGTTAGATTTGTGTTAGGTAATTATATCAGGAGATATGAAACAATGGTGATTGAATGGATTTGAGCATTTATCAACCACACTTTGACAGATTGGAAGGGTGGAATAGCTTACTTCAGTGGCTTTGACATATTGTTTGTAAATTTATGTTTCCTGTTTGCAGGGATCTGGAAGTGTTGGTGGAAATTTTTTGGCTACATATTTTAAGACTGAAACAGTCTACGCTCTGGAACTCAAAATTTGTGTCAACCTTCTGAAGAGGGTCTCAAACCTCAGGATCAGGTGCACTGCAGCATCTTACATCTGAAACTGTCACTGCATGATCCAAACTAGAATACTTCAAGGGAAAAGTCATTGCGTTAATGTAGGCTGAATGAGTTGGAAAAGGTTGAGAAACAGTGATGTAACATGGCATGAAGTTGTCATTGGGATGATGTGGTTGTCAGGAAACATTTCCATCATATAGCTTATATTGATCAAAGTGCATTTTATTTGCATTATATGGGAAAATGTCAACTTGTTTATTTTGGAAGGGAGAATAAAGGAATAAATATTATTTAAATGGAGGGAAATTGCAGAATGCTGCAACACAAAGGGACTTGCGAGCACTTGTGCCTGAAACACATAAAGCTAGCAAAAAGGTGTAGCAGGTAATCAAGAAAGCTAGTGGAAAATTGTGAGATACTTTCTTCTAAGGATGCCTACCTTGAAGAAGTTATCCTCCTCCCTCCGGAAAGACCTCAGTGGATCTCTCTCCCACTGCAACCCTCTGGTAATCTCTTCGGCCCTGAAACTTTTTGAACACATACTCAAGCAAACCAGGTACTACAGCCACATTGCCTTTCTCAGTACCTGCCTACAGAATTGGATCATCCCCATGGACTCCAACCTACATTCAGGCCATCCCAATTTGGTCCTGACCGCAACAACCTCTACGTACACAACATCCAGATCCTCCAAAAACAGTTTACACTGCGGCTCCTCAAGCTCTTACCAGTTTCAAAATTTCCCCACCCCCGGCCTCATCCCATGACCAACCCTCCCTCTCATCCCCGCCTCCTTGATCTGACACATACTGTCCATCTTCTCTCTCACCTTTCTGCTCCTCCCCCCTCACTGACCAATCCCCCCACTCCTAACCTGCACTCACCTATCACCATCCCACCTACCTTCCCCAGCTCCACCCCTCCCCTCTCTATTTATTTCTGAGCTCCCTTTCCCCTCCCCCATTTCTGAAGAAGGGTCCTGACCTGAAACGTCAACTTTCCTGCTCCTCTGGCCTGGCCTGCTGTGCTCCTCCAGCTCCACACTGTGTTATCTCTGACTCCAGCATCAGCAGTTCTTACTATCTCTGAGTGGAATATTGTCCCTTATTTCAAGGCAGTTGGACAATTAGAGTAGAAAAGTCTTACTGCAGCTATGCAAGGTGCTGTTGAGATGAGATTGGGAATATTGTGAGCAGTTTTGGTCCCCTCATTTAAGAAAAGATATGATTTCATTGACAGTTCAGAGATGGTCCACTAGGATGATCCCTGATATGGAAGGATTGTCTTATGACCAAAGTCTTAGCAGGTTTGCGCTCTAATCACTGGAGTTTAGAAGAATGAGAGGCGATCTCATTGAAACATATCAGATTCTTAAGCAGCTTTACAGGGTAAATGCAGAAAGGATGTTTCTCCTTATGGGAAAGTCTAGGACTACAGTGCATAGTCTCAGAATAAAGGGGTGCCAATTTAAGACTGAGATGAGGGGAATTCCTTCTCTCAGAGGGTTGTGAGTATTTGGAACTCCTTGCCACGGAAAGGTGCTGGGTAGATTCCTCGTGTATAGATTCTTGCTCAGTAATGGAATCAAGGCTTAGAGGGCAAGGGCAGCAAAATGGAATGTTGGGTAAAGAATTTTGAATCAGTCATGATGCTATCAAATGGTGGAGCAGGCTCGAGGGGCTGGACAGTCTTATCTTGTTCTTATTTGTTATGGTCATA